TTATTATCAACAATTCTATCAAATGTGATTTGAATAGGAAACAATAAAGCATCTTTCGTGACAAACTTCTTGACCTTGAAACCCTGACTAAGATCAGCTGCTTTATACGCAGCTCCTAAAGCAGCTGCTTCATCCGTATTTACATTTTTTGATAATTCTGTGTTTACATATTGGGACAATGTCTCTTGTACCTTTGGCATTCGAGTACCTGCCCCCACCAATACAACATGCGATATGATATCCATTGTCAAACCTAAAATAATTTCATGTAAATACATTTAATGTTTAAATACATATTTGCAAGAAACATGATAGTTTTCTTTCAAAAGATAGTCACCTGAAGTTTCCAATGCAACCTTCACAGGATTCGCTACACGTTCAAATAAATCGGCGCATATTTCTTCCAGCTTCTCTCTCGAGACTTGCAACTTGAAGTCAATATCGTCTATTAAACTTTCTATCTGGGCAAAGTGGTCTGCGTTGGCACTAAGTACAGTTTTGACGCGTCCAGCTTCCTTAAAGAGTTTCGCCATCGCTCTTGGGCTCTTAAATACAGAGTTTGGTGTCTTTTTAAGAGCGTCAAATTCTTGTGCTAAATAATGCTGCAATCTGATTTGCATTTCTAATCCCCCAAGTGTGCGATCATATCCCACACCCAATACAGTAACATGAGGATTGGTTTCGAGGAAACCCCTCTCTTTTGTTTTTACGTTTTGGTAACTGACGACTGTCGCAGTAGTGCTGCTAGCTCCCATATCATAAAACATAATATAATGAGCAGAATCGTTTATTTCAGTTCTACCAAATACACCATAATTTAAAGCTACCGCCACGTAATCATTTATGAGCTGTAACACTTTCAAACCGGCGAGTTCCGCCGCTTGAATTAGTGCCTTTCTTTCAGCCTGATTGAAGAATCCTGGCACAGTGATAACGGCTTCGTTGATCTTCTGATGGGCAGAAGCTTCTGCGATCTCTTTGCCTTTGTGTAATATCTGTGCGAGTAGTTCTTCCGGAGTATACGTCGTGTTTTCATTCAATCTAAATGCTACTGTTTTTCTCTCGTTATCAGCAATGATGTCATAATAAGGAAATCTTTTTCGGTAGAGTTGTACTAGCGGATTGTCTATAGGTTTTCCTAGAAGATCTAGAATGTAGAAGAAGGTGTTCTGAGGAAATCTCACTCCGATTACTTGAGCATCCTCGCCGAACGATCTCTCTCCATCCCTGAACGCAATCGTGACCGGTGTTTTCCTCTTTGATTCCTTGTTTAAAGCTATTTCCATAGGAACACCAGGCTGTGAATCAAAGAATAATAAAGATATTTCATAAGAAACATGCTTATTTTTTTATAAAGAAATAACAATTATATTTAATTAATAAAGTTTTGGCTGTGTTCGCTTTGATGTTCACAATGTTTTAAACATTGTTTCATTCTTGTTGTTCATTAAATATTAAACAAGAACAATTGATGTTCACAAGCGCTAATAAGCTGCAAAGCGAACGCAGCCTGGGAGAATAAGAGCAAGTTTAAGACAAGTTTAAGCAAGTTAAAGAGTTGTACGATAATTGCAAAACTGCTTTCTCTGTTGAACGCAGCCTTTCTAATATAAAAATCACCAGTTGGATTCGTTACAAACAGATGTCACGTACCGAAACGATAGCGACTTTCATCCATTCACTACCAAGGTCGATGCTCATAACGGCAAGTTCTTCGCTGATGCCGACGAAGGTGGCGATTATGAATAGGGCTAGTGAAGCCATCGACATGCTTCTTTGTGAGAATCCCATCTGGAAATCGAGACAGACGTGAAGTAAAATCGTAACAAGGGAATCTATATGATAATATTCAAGAATATTAACATGCATGCTCGCGGATCAAGGCACGAGACCTACGTACTGTCATGCTCTGTCTAGCTGTCAAACTTGGTTATGAATACCGGCGACGTGAGGCACGTCGATGGGGAAAGCGGGCGGATTAACGCGCGCTCACCTTAAGCTCAGGTCTTGCGACGACACACGACGTACTCAGGGGAAACGGCTCTCAGCTGTACACCATTCAGAACACACGTTCGCGCATTGCAGTCCCTTTTAAATCAACAAAAAGCCGAGCGTAACACTCTCACCGCGACCACTCTCTGTGGAATTCCGTGCCGCCGAGCACCATGTGTTGGTGTGGCATGTTGTGATTGGCCGAACGCGACAGAAATATCGCTTCGCCATTGGTCCGCGTTGGCAAATTAGAGCCAATTGTATCGCGCAAACCACGTAGGTGACACCAATTTTTTCCGAGGGTATCAGGAAAAATAAGAATGTGGGCTTTAAAGACTAATTTACAATTGTGTGTTCTTTGCTTTCTGTTTTTTCTTTTTGCTTTTTTCTTCTTTTGTGATAATTTTCTTCTTATTGATAATTTTATTGATAATCTTCTAATAATGTTTCTTGTTTTTTTTGGAGTTTATTAAATTTTATTTCAGGTGATAGAAAAGAAACAGATAGCAGAGAGCGCATCGTAGATTAATTTTAAGGTCATCCAATAATAAATCAGAAGCTAGAAATTAATCAATCATAATCGAGAATGTAAGAAAAATAATCGATGATTGGTCAATTTCTAACTACTAATTCTAAATTATTAGAGAGATTATATTGGGTTGTCCAGAAAGTGCCGACTAAAATTTAAATTTTAGTATTTTAGTATTTATTAAATTAAAATTTTCTGCGTTTCAATTTTCCTTCAACATCGGCAACTTTCCGATGAAATGAGAGATAATAATAGATTAATCAATTTCTCTGTGTCATTTTGATTAAATTTTAATTAATGGCTGAATAATTTAAATATGTATGAAGCAGGATTGCCTAAAGTAAAAATTTTCTTTATACTTTTTTATTTCTAATCTAATGGAGAATTCGGTCACTCGTACTAGATTACTGCAAATTATATACAATAAAGAGTACTTCATCTAAATATAATATCTGAATGCAGTAGCAATATAATCAAATAATATAATCAACTTTGATAATGAAATAATATTTACATGTTCAATAATATTCTATTAAATAATGTGACAATATTATTATTAAATATTTAAATGTTTAAAATATTTATACATGCTTATACATTTAATTTCATATAGCAATCTTTAGTATGCACTAATTTAGTGTAATGCAAGTAATTGAATTCGTTTATTCATATTAACAAAATACTGCAATTATTATTTGACAATTAAAATTTAATTAAAATTCTATCTTGTACGCATTTTTGTATGGCTCTACAAATTTATGTGTGAATAGATTTATTTAACTAATATGTAAAAAAAAACATATATCAAGCAAAAAAATTAATCATTGAAGGAAATCATTGAAGGAAACTTATTTTGATGAAGTTAAATCTTATTCACTAAATCAATGTTTAAAAATTTTTTTTTTGGACACAATTTATTTATTTAACTTCAATATATCAGACATTTGTGATTATCTTTCTTGTAAAAGTATCAAATAGAAAATACCAACGAAACAATGAGAAAGATGTATAAATATGGGATCTGATAATGCACAGATCGAAAGGTTATCGATACGATATTTAAAATTATTAGCGTAGCGTAAGTAGTGTATAATTCTATCACACAAAAGTCGATAATCTAGTTTCGTTACATTTACAGTAAAAAAT